GCCTAAAAACTCATGTAGTACCAGTATTCAAGAACGGTGATAACGTATGTCCTGAAAATTTTGGTACAGGGCAGGAGGATTTATTACTTGGATGAAACTTGATGATGATGGCAAAGTCCATTGAAAGCTAGAGAGAATTAAAAAAAGTATAAAGAGTCCTCTTTGCTTAAATTTTGTCGAAGTACCCAACAAAAGGCGGAAGCTTTAATTTTTCACCTAACTGGTCTAGACGACAATGATCACGTCTCAAGTTATATATATATATATATATATATATATATATATATATATATATATATATATATATGTATATATATGTATGTATATATATACGAGCAGTAGTCATTGCCATTGGCAACGACCAGTTGGGTAAGAAATACAATTATGTAATTATTAATTGGGAAATTGGCAAAATTTTAGGCTTTAGCAAACTTTTTTAACGGTAATCTCGAGCTTTCGGCATGCTATGGTGCCATCATCAAGAGCTGAAACACAAATATGAAGCTAACAACCAATACGGAAAAGATTTAGATTTTTCAGACAACTTACTCGTCAATATATATACAGGTTGACTTTGAAGTTGAGTCATTAATTTTCAGATAATGATTGTAGAAGGAAGATAAACCAAAATATGTGTGTAAAAATAAAAACAAAATTTTTACCTTGTTTTATAAAGTATCCTCCCGACAAGTATTTCAGTGCGGACCTGTATTTGATCGTGAGGTCCCCTGTGAGGTCTTAAGTCACCTGATTCACGAGCCCGTTGTACTACATTAACAAAGGCACGAGGGGTTGGTTGCACTCGATTGGGAAACCGATCCGCATAAACATGTGCCATTTTTTATTTCGTTTGAGCCACGCAACAGATACCACTATTCACTGACACTGACTGTATACAAATGAATGAAATAATTGTAAAAACATCGTTCCAAATTCTTTCGCTTTTTGTTTCCGATGCGATGAACCGATACGGCGGATTATATCCGTTGTCGCCAAACACGAGGACATAATATTATTATTGAGACAGGGCGGTACTCAAACTTCCAAAGGGCTATAACTTTGTTACTTTAATTTTACCAGAAAAATGGTAAAGGAAAAAAACATTTCTTTTGATCAGATCTACTCACTGTTAAAATAAATGACTCAACTTCGAAGTCACCCTGTATATATATATATATAAAACTTTAGACGTGGTCATTGTCGTCTAGACCAGTTAGGTGAAAAATTAACAGCTATGACCCCTACATCCAATGTACCATTGGAAAAGAAGATGAGAACTTGTCTGTCCCCTTTCTTGACGCAAGACTCATCCGCACCAACAATAATAGTTTATTGGTAGACTGGTACCAGAAACCCATGGCCTCAGGCCGGTTCCTCAATTTTAGGTCATACCATAAACTAAGGATTAAAATCAACTTGGTGAAACAGATGAAAACAAGGATAAGGACAAGGATTGTTTTCTCATAATAAAATAATAATTGTTAATTCAATTGCCGATCTCATCAACAATATAGTTAGTTCAACTGCCTCTGGTCGGTTGACAAGTTCTTACACAACATATCTTCAAAATCACACCATCTGAAGTGATTTGGCAACATAGCACACACCTTACAAAAGAATTTTCGTTCTATCCATCTACATGGACACTACTAACCTTCTTCCATCTGTCAAAGGTTCATCTTACTTATGATTCTATGCCTACCATTTTGTACAATCATCAGGTGATTCACGATGTAATTTTTAACTTTCGTTTTAAATATTTTTAATCCGTTTTAATTTCTTCTTGACATACAGCTGTGTGTAGTTTGTATTAATTTTGACGATTGTACCATGTATCCAGCTTTCACCAGGTTACTGGGTGTTTCCCTCAACCTAAACGTAAATAACATTTAGCAACATCCTCACATACTACTGTGTAAGTTAATTTAAAATTCATTTTGCACAATTGTTGCTATTTTTCTCGATGTTATTGCAGCTCCTGATGATGATGGCAAAGACCATTGAAAGCTAGAGAGATTAATAAAGTATAAAGAGTCCTCTTTGCTTAAATTTTGTCGAAGTACCCAACAAAAGGCGGAAGCTTTAATTTTTTACCTATATATATATATATATATATATATATATGTATTTATATATAACTTGAGACGTGGTCATTGTCGTCTAGACCAGTTAGGTGAAAAATTAAAGCTTCCGGCTTTTGGTGGGTGCTTCGACAAAAATTTTAAGCAAAGAGGACTCTTTATACTTTTTTATTCTCTCTAGCTTTCAATGGACTTTGCCATCATCATCAGGAGCTGCAATTCCCTCATCCTGAACGTAAACATCAATTAGCAACATCCTCACATACTACTGTAAGTTAAGTTAATTTAAATTCATTTTACACTATTGTTGCTACTGTTATCAATGTAATTGCAGCTCCTGATGACGATGGCAAAGTCCATTGAAAGCTAGAGAGAATAAAAAAAGTATAAAGAGTCCTCTTTGCTTAAAATTTTTGTCGAAGTACCCAACAAAAGGCGGAAGCTTCAATTTTTCACCTGTATATATATATATATATATATATAACTTGAGACGTGGTCATTGTCGTCTAGACCAGTTAGGTGAAAAATTAAAGCTTCCGCCTTTTGTTGGGTACTTCGACAAAATTTAAGCAAAGAGGACTCTTTACACTTTTTTTAATTCTCTCTAGCTTTCAATGGACTTTGCCATCATCATCAGGAGCTGCAATTACAATGATAACAGTAGCAACAAAAGTGTAAAATGAATTTAAATTGAATCAATTTACAGTAGTATGTGAGGATGTTGCTAATTGTTGTTTTCGTATAGGATATATATATATATATATATATATATATATATATATATATATATATAATATCAACGTTATTGACGAAATTGCTAAAAACCAAAATAAGACCGTTTTATTGCTACCCCCTGAGGAAAATACGGACCTGTACAAGCTCGCTTTCGGGATGTTGTGTTTTATATGGGCAGAAATGGACTAGGAATGGGGTGTCTCCCATTTTCCAACTCATCGGCACAGATCCGCTTGTCGCTTCAAATCAAATATATTGTATTTGCTCTTGCAATAAACTCGCGCAGCCGATTAAGTATCGATCGCCTCGCGTTTCAGCATCGAAATTAATATAAATCGCTACAAATATTGTCCTGGGCGGTGTGCGCTGTGATATCTCTGAGGTTACACCGCGATATTCTGTCCTGATCGTTCGTGACTCATTAAACGGCGGTGTAGCGTTGCCGTCTGTCGGTCGCCAGACGCCTCGACGCTGCTGCTGACGCCTCTTTTCGCCTCTCCCCCTTCCCCTGCAACCCCGATCAATGCCGGCGTCTGCGGAAAGAAAACTCGGAAAATGCCCCTGTGTCATCTGCGGTACGCAACGAGTAAATGAGTTCCGAGAAGAATGGAAAACGTCGCCCAGTGGCGCGATGGGACGTGATGTCGCCTTAAACCGAAGAAAAAATGCGTCAAGTAGGTGGACTCTGCATTTTCAATGCCATCAGTTCATAAAGGATCAAGAATTTAAATCATCTGAGAAAAATATTGAGTTACACAGAAATTGAATGTATCAAGTAAAGGCCTATACAGTTAGTCCAGACTAATCCTACTAACCAATGTATGTGGATCGGCAAGGTCAGCTAGATGTAGTGTATACTGATTTTTCTAACGCGTTCGATAAGGTGAACCATGGCATACTCTTAAATAAACTTTCTCTTTATGGATTCAATTCATCAGCTTTAGCACTCATTCAAAGTTATCTTTACAAAAACAATATGTTACTTTCAATGGCTTCAAGTCGTACCAGTATGTAACTAAATCGGAAGTGCCTCAGGGTTCAAACCTTGCACCTAAAAATTAAAAAAAAGGTCGTGCGATCTTTTGGTTGGGCCACCCTGTATGCACAAGTCAAGATCTTAATACACTCCGAAGATACAAGTTTTCCTCTAGATTTGGAATGTTGCAGCAGATTATGGGATCTCCTTTTCCATCGTTGACAAGTTTTGAGAATACGGAGTCTTAAGAATGATTTAGGGAGGTTGATGGGTGATATTTGCTTAGCTAGTTGTGGAAGCAGCAGTGCAGATGGAAGAACCTCTGTTGACATTTAACAAAACACGTACTTTTGCCAGGTTGATGATTGTCGAATACAAATTTGGTATAAAATTTCGTAACAAATTTCAATTGCGTCATGCGACCTAAGAGCTTCCTTTAAAAGAAAAATACGATCTTACTTGGCAACACGATACAAATGTTCTTGGAAAATATGTTAATATATTATTGCGCAACATTAAATGGACGAAACACATACGAGGTGGTTCTCCGCAATGCCTCTCGACGCTGAAGGTTAAAATCCCATTAGAAAATGGACGGAGTAGCACCCAAACTGAAACAACTAAACCTAAGGTACAAAATAAAAGGGTACTACTCCATAAACTGGTGATCGGCGCTCAACTCTGATTGGTCGATTCAAACGGCTTGACGTAACAGTTTAGGCGTACGAGAGTGATGGGCATCTATATTGTCCGAAATGAGTTGCCTTGAGGTGGTTTTTCAGTTTCGGGAAGTGAAAAACATTATAAGGACTCAAGTCAAGCGAATAAGAAAGAATGTTTTTATTACTGGCCAAAAATTCGATCTAAACGCACAAGATCCCGGATTCTGTCGATATTTCAATCGGTTGTCAAGTGGAAGTGGTGGCTTCCAACAAAATCGGCTGCGAAACAGCTACAAGGCAGCTACAAAACAAAGCGGGAGGAGTGGAAATGGTGGTTCTCCCAACGCTGAAGGTTAAAATCCCATTAGAAAATGGACGGGGTAGCACCCAAACTAAAACAACTAAACCTAAGCTACAAAATAAACACCATAAACTGGTGATCGACGCCTCCAGTGTTGCCAGATCGAACGCTACGTTGCCAGTTTCATCACTTAATTTACAGACCTCATACATCTTCATAAAAAAACTCATTTTAAAGAAACTCACCACTCCTCCTCCAACACTGTGCACCAAGATGGACTTTCCTTCGCCAATTCCAGCGATTTCGAAGAGTAGAGCATGAGCGACGGCGTAGTTCATGGTGATGGTAACCGCGTCTAGATAGGACATTCCTTCTGGGAGTTTGTAAGCGTACTTCGCTGGTACGGCTACCAACTCGGCCCAAGCGCGGTACTCGGGTAGTGCCACTACTCTGTCGCCAATCTAGAAAAAATAGGACGTTATTAGATATCCCTAGTTTTTGATGTCAGTGATTTAAAACCGTGACATCCGAATAACGATGGGATTATGATAGCCTGAACAAAATACTGCAACAACCAAAACCTATAAGCATGAAGACTAGGGATAGGACGTTAAGGTGGCACGTGCCTTTTTTTAGATTTTATTTCAACTTTCTGTTTGCAGTAGTCCAAATCAGTTTCATCTGATAATTTCATGGTGTGTATAGAGATGACTAAAAAACAATGTTTTTTTTTGGAAAAAAATGCATTTTTGTTATTGTGCATTCTTTCTGCAATCGGAACTTGTTAAAAAATATAAGTACAGCTCTGAAATTGTGTGTGAATATTCCTCTTTTATGGAAGAATGAAACAAGTGATTACTTTTGTTCTTATCACTTTTCTTTTTCGATAAATGTGATTTTCCTAAAGTCTCGTCTCGCAGCAAGTTGAGTTTTCACTGTTTTTGAGATACTAATTTTTGTTTGTCTTTTTCGGAAAATTTCCTCGTTTGGTCTAGCTGTTGTTGCTGATTAAGCAGATAATTGATCGCAGTACTTTGCAGTAGCAGTCTAGTAATTTTTTTTTTCATTGCGGAATACCAAAGTTGAGTAACATCGTTTTCTAAAATAAAAATTACGAAGACATTAGTTTGTCAACAAAATACTGCAACAACCAAAACCTATAAGCATGAAGACTAGAGATAGGACGTTAAGGTGCCACGTCCCTTTTCTAGATTTTATTTCAACTTTCTGTTTGCAGTAGTCTAAATCAGTTTCATCTGATAATTTCATGGTGTGTATAGAGATAACTAAAAAACAATGTTTTTTTGGAAAAAAATGAATTTTTTGTTATTGTGCATTCTTTCTGCAATCGGAACTTGTTAAAAAATATAAGTACAGCTCTGAAATTGTGTGTGAATATTTCTCTTTATGGAAGAATGAAACAAGTGATTACTTTTGTTCTTATCACTTTTCTTTTTCGATAAATCTGATTTACTTGAAGTCTCGTCTCGCAGCAAGTTGAGTTTTCACTGTTTTTGAGATACTAATTTTTGTTTGTCTTTTTCGGAAAATTTCCTCGTTTGGTCTATCTTTTGTTGCTGATTAAGCAGGTAATTCATCGCTGTACTTTGTAGTAGCAGTCTAGTACATTTTTATTTGATTGCGGAATACCAAAGGTGAGCAACATAGTTTTCTAAAATAAAAATTACGAAGACATTAGTTTGTCAAGTTTACCTACTTGTATTTATCGAAAATGATATTTCAAATGGCAGACCAACTATATTAGAATATTTTGCAAAAAAATCAAATAACACCCAAGTAAAAGTGCAACAACTTTCAAATCGCCACAAATATGCCATTGGTGCTCATCGTATTTTATGCATGTCAATAGGTACTTCATATTGTCATATGATTCTTTCATCTGAACTGCATACCCTACAGGAAGAGATGGTAAAATATTTCCAATATGCAATAACACTGCCTTTAAACTCAATGTTGAACTGTCTATAAACAATCTCCATTCTTCTGGGTTATAGTTTATATTTAAAGCCGCCAGTAAGCCGTTAATGTTACTGCAGAAAACCAAGTTATTCTCCATATTGAAAAATGGTTCTAAGTCTTTGTGGCGTTTACGAAAAACAAATACCGAAACATCGTCTTCTAACAAGTTCCACTGCTGCAGTCTTGATCCAAGTAACTCTGCCTTACATTTTGGAAGTTCTAAATATCTTACAAGATCATTTAATTCTGACTGTTCTTGTTACATATGCAGAATTTATTAAAATTTTAGTGGAGTGGCGGCTGACTGGATCATCGTACTAGACAAAATCCAATAGTCGGATAAGTGTGCGACTATTGAAATGGCGCGGTGGTTATCAATTCAATCATAGAGACTATCAAACTTCGCTCTTGGAATTAAACAAACCAAAATACGACTGACGAGCCAGCCAGTGTAAGGACAAATTTCATGTTTGCACTTCATTAGGAGTTGGATACGAAGAAAAAATTCTGTATACAGGGTGTTTCAGTTTATTGTTGCATAACTTTAAGATTCGATAGAACTTTTAAAATTAATGCATAAAGTCTATATAAACATGGGTCGAAAAATGTGTGGCTTCAGAAATACGGGGTGTTTAAATTTACTTTCTAAAATGGTTTTTTTTTTTAAATATTTCGAACAATATTTGATGTATAACAGTGAAAATTGGTATACAATGGTTTTTTGGTACGACAAAACGAACCATGGGCATAGTTTTACTGTAGCCGCTAGAGGGCGCTCTCTACTGTACCTGTAGTGTATTAAAATGACCGAAAAAAATTTCTTAGTGCAATTTTTTGCTTTTTGAATAAAAAAACTGATTCTTCGCACTTTTCAACATAAAAAAGCTCTCCTGTGAGTGTTCGTTATAGTTAGCCGTTTTTGAGATATTTCGATTTTTAAGGTTCGATGCATTTTTAATTATTTATGATAAAATAACGTTAAAAAGTCAGTATCTCGATAATTTTTAGAAGTAGGCTGTGCCTGCAAATATTTTTGAAATTGAAAGCAGAATAAGGTTAAACGTCAATTAGTTGACAGTTAGTTTTGTTGTCTGTTGAAACCTGAAACGTTTTTTTGCAATTGTGAATGCACGAAATTCAGTTTCTTTTACCTGTTTTTTTTTTTTTGAAGTTTTATAAAAATGCCATTTTTATTCTCCAATCAAGAGTTAGCGGATATTCATTTTGTGTATGGCTTTGTAAATGGAAACGCAGCAGAAGCAGCCAGAGAATACGCACGAAGATTTCCAAACAGGCGACATCCAACTCGCTCAGTATTTGTAAGAGTGCATCGCCAAATAATTGAAAATGGTTTTGGAAATCTCCAAAGGGATCAAAACATAAATGTTCGTCAGCGCAGATTTACCCGTATGATTCTGCGTGAGTTTGATAGAGATCCGACCACAAGTGTTAGGAGAGTTTCTGGTGCCTTGGGTATTTCAGCAAGCGTGTTCTTAGAAATGACCATAGACGTCCTTACCATTTGCAACCTGTGCAAGGACTACAGCCAGGGGACGGAGAACGAAGAATCACATTTTGTCAGTGGATTCTTGATAGAACTGATAATAATAGGGAGTTTTTAAGTAACGTTTTATGGACCGATAAGTCATGCTTCACTAGACGTGGAGTGGTAAATTTTCATAATCAACATATTTGGTCGCATGAAAATCCGCATGCAGTTCGGGAAAGAAATTTTCAGCATGAATTTAGTGTGAACGTGTGGATTGGTATCTACCGTAATCGACTATTTGGACCCTACCTTTTGCCTGCAAGGTTAAATGCTGCGACCTTCTTGGAATTTTTAAAGGCTGAACATGCAAATATGTGGGATGATGTTATGTTAGATTTAAGAAGATTGGTCTGGTTCCAGCTTGATGGTTGTCCAGCTCATTATTCGAGAATAGTTAGAAACTGGCTGGACGAAAATTATCCAGAAAGATGGATCGGCCGTGGAGGACCAGTCGCCTGGCCTCCACGATCCCCTGACCTAAATCCATTAGATTTCTTTGTGTGGGGATTTCTAAAAGAAAAAGTGTACCAAACTCCCGTAACCACAAGAGATATGCTAATAGACAGAATCAGGAATGCATGTGATGAAATAAGGCCTTATTTGAATAAGGCTATACCACGTTCGATCATTCGTAGATGTGAATTGTGTATTGAACAATTGGGTTTACATTTCGAGCAACTACTTTAGATTTTGTATGTTTGTCCTAACTATCCAATAGCATTTTAGTTGTAAATAATTAATTTAATTTGTTAAAAATAATATTGGAAAATTAAACAAATTAATATTCTGTTTTTGTGTTTATTTGGAGTTAGGAATTATTGCTGTGTTTAAAAACACGATCTAAATGATCATCTTAATTACTTGTAATGCCCAAATCAAAAAAGTAAAAAAAATATGATTTTCCCATAAATAATTAAAAATGCATCGAACCTTAAAAATCGAAATATCTCGAAAACGGCTAACTATAACGAAAATTCACAAGAGAGCTTTTTTATGTTGAAAAGTGCGAAGAATCATTTTTTTTATTCAAAAATCAAAAAATTGCACCAAGAAAAAATTTTCGGTCATTTTAATACACTACAGGTACAGTAGAGAGCGCCCTCTAGCGGCTACAGTAAAACTATGCCCATGGTTCGTTTTGTCGTACCAAAAAACCCTTGTATACCAATTTTCACTGTTATACATCAAATATTGTTCGAAATATTTAAAAAAAAACTATTTTAGAACGTAAATTTAAAACACCCTGTATTGCGGAAGCCTCGCATTTTTCGACCCATGTTTATATAGACTTTATGCATTAATTTTAAAAGTTCTATCGAATCTTAAAGTTATGCAACAATAAACTGAAACACCCTGTATATATAGTGAATGCAGGCTAAAAGAGACAGTCTAAGCTGTGAGAAAAGTTTTGAAATAAATCGCCACTATTCCAAAATCTTCGTTATTCTTTTGTAGGCTAAGTACTTATCGGTCCGCCCTCGTAAATGTACGAAAGGCCACAGTCGCAAACCCCGGGCCCGCCTTTCAAATACGCCACTGGTTTGTTTTCAAAAAAGAAAACCAAGCCACACAGTTCATCTTGAAACGAGAACGGTGTGAACAGGGACACTAACATCCAACATTTTGAATACATAAGTAATTCGATTTGATCAATATTGTCCTCCACTCACCGCAAACCCTTCAACGCCCTCCCCAACTTGTTCGACATCCCCGGCACATTCGAAGCCCATGATGAAGGGACATTTCGGAGGGGAGTCGATGGCACCTTGCCGGAGCATCAGGTCTTGGAAGTTCAGTCCACTGTAACAAAAAAAACAAAAACGTATTCAACCGAAAGAACGCATGATTGCTAGCCAAAAAAAAAGGTTATTCTTTTAGTTACGCGTAAAGTTATAATCTATTTAAATTATTATTTATTATGTCGGCAAGTAGATTGACGTTTGAAAGAAAAGGGTGTACGGGGTGATTCACAAGTCGTGACCAAAAATGAAACTATTTTTATTTGGAAAAGTAATGCCACTAATCCCCTGTATCTCCGCCACTGGTGCACTTAATCTTCAGTGAAGCCTTTTGAATGTGGACAATACTTAGGTAAATCCATATACCAAATTTTAGTTCATTCTACTTGACGGTTTTGAAGATATTAAAAAAATTGTTTTTTATTTTTAAACTTCCTCTAGGTAAAAATGTTATGTATAGAAGACCCCCCTTAAAATGCGGTCCTGTGTATGATTTTTGGTCACGACTTGTGGCCCACCCTGTATATGTTACAAAACTGCAAAAAATGGGTTTGTCGGGAACGTGAACCCAATCATTCTTATACGCGTCTTTTGGGCCGCTGAAACCAAATTCGGTGCCAATTCAATCCGAAAATGCCTCGTTTTCGAGATACTGGCAAGAATTCAACTTTGTCAAAAAACGACTAATCAAAAAACCCTTGCGCGTCTATGATCGAGATGGAAGTTTGTTTTCTGGGTAAATCGGGTGCGTAGATTCCAAATTCGATGTCGATACATTGCTAGAATTTACGGCTAGCCCGAAAAATAGTTCTTGTCAAGTTTTCACCCTAAATCCAGTCTGATGACACTCTAGAATTTTTCACTATGATATTCATATTCAGCGCGCCAAATTACCACACTGAGCAAAGCTTCGCTTCCATGTGGTCATCGATAGTAAAAATGGGTTTTTAACACCTTAAAGTCGCAAAAAGCGTAGTTTTGCAATTTCGCTAAATAATTAGACCTACATGATAAACGGGATCACATAATATATGTAAAACGACCTCGGATTCACTATTGGCATCCCAAAATACGTGGAATAAAGGTCATTTGAGCCGCATTAAAGCATTTTAACATAAAATTATCATCATATTGTTACCGAAAAGGCACAAAATGTGTCAGTCGGGAACGTGAACGCAACATGTCTTATAATATGCTTTTTGGGTCGCTGAAACCTAATCCATGCCCCTTCCCATCCGAAAATGCCTCGTTTTCAAGATACTGGCAACACTTCCATTGTTGAAATATCCTGATGAAAACGTTCGCCGTGCTCATCACTTACGGCTCCGCAATTGTCAGGAAAAAAGTCCAGGTGTGAGTGTAGGAAATGTATCTTAAGAGACATATTACAGCCCATCTTTTGATACGATGACAGTATATTTTTGACAAGGGTTTTATAGTTGTCAGCTTTTCTATTTCCCAAGAAATTAGTGACCACCAGACGGAAATCATTCCAAGCAGTTTTTTCAATACCTGTTAAAGTGTTTTCAAACTGTGTATCTTTCAAAATATTTCGAATCTGTGGCCCAACAAAAATACCTTCTTTAACCTTTGCCTCACTTAGTCTTGGAAATTTCTGACGCAGGTATTGAAAAGCTGACCCATCTCTATCTACTGCCTTGACAAAGTTTTCATTAGGCCCAACTTGATATGCAGTGGTGGTAATAAAATTTTTTTCGAATCTACTAATGGCATATGTACATTTTTTTGACCTGGTTCTAGGAATTGACGAACAGGCCAGTTTTATCTGGTGTAATGAAGTGCCTTTGCCCGACTGTCCCATTCACACAAAAAACAGCAAAACTTTGTGTAGCCTAGCTGCAGCCCAAGTAAAAGTGCAACAACTTTCAAATCGCCACAAATATGCCATTGGTGCTCATCGTATTTTATGCATGTCAATAGGTACTTCATATTGTCATATGATTCTTTCATTTAAACTCAATGTTGAACTGTCTATAAACAATCTCCATTCTTCTGGGTTATAGTTTATATGTAAAGCCGCCAGTAAGCCGTTAATATTACTGCAGAAAACCAAGTTATTCTCCATATTGAAAAATGGTTCTAAGTCTTTGTGGCGTTTACGAAAAACACATACCGAAACATCGTCTTCTAACAAGTTCCACTGCTGCAGTCTTGATCCAAGTAACTCTGCCTTACATTTTGGAAGTTCTAAATCTCTTACAAGATCATTTAATTCTGACTGTGTTATTTTGTGCGGTTGGTGGCATGACGTGCTCGGTATAAAATCAGGATCTCTTGACGTTGATGGCATATCTTCTTCCTGACGAATCACTCGATCGCCATGATCTGATTCGTTTTCTGATTCGCAAGTGTAGGATTCTGGGGGTTTTGGAGTAGAATTTTCGTCACTGTGAGGCACAGGTCTCATCGCAGATGGTATGTTTGGGTAGTTAATAACCGATTTTTTTTTCTTGGACATACCTGTGGCTTGTCCAACACAAGGTACCATGCAAAAATAACAATCATTAATATGATTTGTAGGTTCTCTCCAAACCATTGGGACAGCAAAGCGCATAGACCGTTTTTTGCCATTTAACCAGCTCCTCACACTTGAAGCACAAGTATTACAGCAGATGTGGGGGTGCCCACTGTTTGTCTTGATCGCCTAGTTTACAACCGAAATAAAGCTGATATGCCTTTGTTATTAGTGGAGTAATAGACCGTCTCTGAGACGCAAAAGTCACATCACCACACACGTAACAAACTGATCTGGATTGTTTACACACTTTCGAGACATCTTGCATGAACGCTGTCAGCCAACTGAGGAAAAAATGGCTAATATAAAACAATATAATGTAATGTACACGTATGTATAACGTAACACAATCATGCCGATTACATCATCTTTCCTTGCCGAATATAAAAATGTAGCACGTGCATTCTTGTGATTTACAGTATATTAACACTGTCACAGCAGGAACACATATAATTACCGTATCTCTAAAACTGGAACTAATATTGAAAACATAAATTTCATTCCGGTTTTAGCACATTAAAAATAGTAATATTTTGTTGATTTTATTTAGGATATTTTTTGGCTATTGATGAGTGTAATCTGAATGAAAGCTTGTTTCTTAGGTAAAACAGAATGCGTAGATTCCGAATTCGATGTCAATTTAGTGCTAGGATTCTCGGGTGGCCCCGAGTGACTAGTTTTTCAACAATTTTTCAACCCCAACTCGGCACCTTGACGATGACTTCTCTAACGCTCACTTGCCCCTGAGGAGGCTTATACCCAGTACTACTAACCTTAGGCAGTTCCAAAATATGATCAACAATATTTCTTCAAGCTCCTCATATCAACCGCGGTGCCCTAGTATTTAGGCTGCAGTGATGCAAAGAGAAATGTCCTGGATCGTCCCCAATCGATCAAGAGCCCCCAATGAAAAGTCCCACGCTACGCCGCTGGCCAACCCTAACAAATGAGGAAACCTACCGAAATGCCGGTTAAGTGGTGTGTTACGATGATTTATGGGTAGGTAGATTGTTGACCGTTAGACGAGGTACAGATAGAGGCACAGGAAATACTTGAAACTGTCCAGATTAGTTAGACACTGATGCCTTAAGTTGTGGATATTTATAGTTTTCGTGGTATTGGAATCATGAGATGGTTGAAAAAGTCAATTCCGTCTGTTAAAACAAACTTCCAGTAGTCTAGGAGAAATATCATTAAATTTCTAGGATTTTTTGTTATCCAAGGCACTTGTGATTTTTTTAGCAGAAAATAATACACCAATTTCGTACAGTCACGTGCAATATTTTTTTTCTAGAAAACGAAGTGAGATACGAAAAAAATACAAGACGCAAAGAAGTTGTATTTTTAGATTCTGATTCAAACAAAAAATATTAAAGTTACAAAAAATGCAGTGGCGTACATTTTTTTGCCGCCCGCGACGCCACTGGAAATAATAATTTTAATCTTGTTAGGGCTAAATTAGCATCTTAAAACAACAAATAATATTGTCAAATTTCAAAAGAATCGAGTAAATATTTTTTAAGATATTAAAAAGAATGATTTTTAAAAAAAATTATCACCCGTATCTTGAAAACGATGCATTTCTGGACCCATGTTCATAGAAGCTTTTTTGATATTTTTTAACAAGGAATCACCCTCTAGAATATTTCTATGAATTTCCAAACTATACAGGGTGTTCCTTAATGATATGCGAATATTTAAGAATGAAATTCCCACAGCATAGATGGAAAGAGGCGATAGTTGTTCCCTGCGGACATTTCAGAGACTTGAAACCAATAACAATCAACGTTACTTCAACAACTTGATTCAGTCATTTCTCATCTCATCCAAACTTGCATGAGAAATGTTTGAAATTTTTCAGATCCGTCTCTGTCCTCATGCCTCCGGTTCTCGGTTTAATGTAAACGAATCTAAAAGCGTTGTCGTCACTACAGTATATTCAGATAAGAGATAGACCGGACATAAACAAGACCACGTGATCATCGAACGCTGTAACATTCGGCAGGGACGTATTAAGAGTCACGCAGTACATATTTTAGATAGTAGATGCTGCTTTGCGTAACTTTGTAGTAAATTAGCACAATTCGATGTGTATACGATTGGTGATATATAGGATCATGTGGGGGTGGGGTAAGAAATATATAATGATGTAAATATACATAAGGGTTTCAAAATTTTCGCTTCGATTTCCAGCTTCGGATGCCGCCTGATGTTTGGTGAAATACAGTCGAATATAATCTCAAAATGGCGTTTAAATTAGCCTAAATTAAAAATAATCGTATATCTCTTAAAATTGCTTTTAGAATATTGATTAGTATATTTTTTGATTTCTAGGTAAATATGTAACCAAATTAAAACGTTCAAAACGTAAAAAAATGTGCATGGTTGAACATTGTCAGAAAGTAGATTCTTGAATAGGTTTTGCCAAAATGGGTTCAAAAATGTCAATAATTAATTAAAAAATACAGTAGCTTTATAATTACTTATAACTTACCGAATTTGATGAACGACATCTTTTATTGAAA